TTCTTTATTAGACTTTTCAACGGTTTTAAAAAACTTCTTTTATGATTCTATATTATAAATTGCATGCCTCTATATGTATAGTTATATAAGAAATGTTTAAAAGACTTAGGAAGGCTATCCACCCTGTTTCCTTTTCCTCAATTTGGATGTGGTATGGTGGGATATCGGGTACCCGTCCGAAGGTCGTTTAAATATTAGTTATATATCATGTGTACATATATAGTCATAAATGTTCCATCAATTAATTATGTTCTGACGCTCTTGGGTAGCAAGGGTGTATAAACCTACTCGGACACTCATCAATTACATTCTAGTAAACTATTATAGGAATAGTTTAGGGGATACAAAACATTATCCGTATTAAAAGAAATTACACCAGAGTCAGTTCATTCATGAGTCTAGACTACATGCTATATGAAGGGATACTGTTACAGAGAATCCTCTTACATGGATATATTTATAGGGATACTCTTACATAGATACGCTTACATGAGTACGTTTACATGAGTACGTTTACATGAATACTTTTACATGAATACTTTTACATGAATACTTATACATGAATACTCTTACATAGATATGCTTACATGAGTACGTTTACATGAATACTTTTACATGAATACTTTTACATGAATACTTACACATGAATACTTTTACATAGATATCATATGGAAAATTACTATTAGATATTATATGTCTAGATATTGTTATATAGTTCTCCTTTCTATCTTTACCTTGTGATATAATCACATCATCGACGAGATAGATTGGACTTTATATCCTAGTACCAAAGGATACTTTACGGGATTAACCATTCCTAGATTCTCTGTTAGCTACAGAGGTAAATGCACATCCACGGATGTCTTCGGTTGATACCATTACAGGTATACTTTAAGGGACTAACTATTCCTACACCCAGCTGTTAGCAACAGAGGTAAATGTACATCTACGGATGTCTAAAGTTAACATTGTTAGTTATCCTAGTATAAAGGGATAATACGTAAGTTATTTATATTATTACCATTATCTTGTGACTCATCCACATAACCAATGAGGTGAATCGTATTTGAGTATCCTTGTACCAAAGGATACAATTTCTTATATTAATAATAACTTTCAAAACAGTCGGGTCTTGGTAGAAGACTACTTTCAAAACAACTAGGTCTTGGTAGAAGACTACTTTCAAAACAACTAGGTCTTGGTAGAAGATTTCATCTATACTAATAGGAATCATAGGGATTTCTAGGGTTTACCAAACGGTTTCGATTACTTACAAACATTTCCACACTTATACGAACTTTCTTTCAGAACAATATCAAGTCTTTCATTACGAGTTTTACAAATCAAAAACACATTAATACTTATGAATTCACCAGCTTTTTGGCTGATACTCGCTTTCAAATAACTTGTATTCTCAGGTCGCAAATAGACAGGTACGACGACCAGGTTTTTGGTGAAGACGGAGCATTCCAGACTCATCTTATTTTCTGATTATTCATTTTATTGTTGTATATTATGAAAGAACACACTTGTAATTAAAATTATACTATTAATGAAATGGATGATGTTGTTGCTTGTTTACTACTTTACATTGTTGTGATACATTACATGACGTCCTCCGCCCTAGAACGTTTCCGCCGTTCCCAGTTTTGGGGTGTGACACTTTGAATACTGGATTCTTTATTCAAGCTTATTCAGATGCAGATTTGGGAGGTTGTAATCTTGATAGAAAGAGCATTAGTGGTGGCTATTAATTATTTGATAGGAAGTTGGTAAGATGGCAATCGAAAAAGCAGACATGTGTTTCTATCTCAACGGCCGAAGCTGAAGATGTTGCTGCTGCTGCACTTCGCAGATGATTTGGATTCAAATTCAATTACGTGATTATTCAATTAATATGAAAAAGATTCCTTTATATTGTGATTCATAAAGTGCAATAAGAATTTGTCATAATCCTGTGCAGCACTCGAAGACCAAACACATTGCTCTTCGTTATCACTTCATAAAAGATCGTGTAGAGGATGGGAATATTGAAGTCATTTTGTGAAAACAACTAATCAGTTGGCTAATATTTTCACGAAAGCATTAGATGAAAAATCGTTTATGAGGATTCTGGAAGGACTTGGAATGGTTGATGGTAATTCAATTTCATGCGAAAAAGGATATTGAAGGTTTAATAATGATAATTCACCAACACGTCATCAACGGATAAGGTTACTGTTCATAAGTCACTCTTCGTATGCTTCGAATTTGTAGGATTGGTATTTTTCAACACATTTTAAAACTTCGTAGGATTACAACAATTACTTTTGTTTATTTTGTTTTTTTTCTCAATTTTCGCAAAATAAAAAACATCAAAAATATTTTCGTTTTGGTTTGTTCTTTATTTTCGAAAAATCAAAAACATCAAAAATATTTTTGTTTTATTTTGTTCTTTATATTCAAAAAATGAAAAACAATAAAAAGATTTTATTTCTTCTTTCTTTTGAGTACTTTGTCGTAGCTATTCTTGAGGATGTGAAGTGTCAAATATTTGCAGATTCTAGGGTCTGGTATAAATTTCTAATCTTTGAATTTCAATTTTTTTTAAACTAGCTAAGATGTCCCTAGAAGCATGCTGCATGTTGTCTGAAGCCTCGAATTGATTTAATGTTTGAAAGCCTTAATAAAATTTTCCATACGAAGATTTCTACCTAATAAGGCTTATATTCACATTAGTCCAATGAGCTACCTTACTCTTCTCACTTGAGTTAAGAGTTTTCTGTTTGGTCCAAATATAACAGAGGTACACTTCGGATCTTCACCAATCTTTTTCATCTAAAATCTCTTTCACGATCACACATGAAGACATATGTCCAAGAGGTCTTTGATCAAATCAATCGAGACTTAGAAATATCAACAATCTGTGTTAATGATCTGACATCATGAGACCGTGATGAAAGTGAAACCCAAATTTCTTTCAAATTAAGGAATTGACGGGGAACTATGTTCCAGACTTTACGAAACTTTTGTTTCAGTACCTATTTTCAAAACTCCAAATCATATGAGTGATCTTGATCAAATATTCGAAACCCACGGTGTTTGTTACCCATCAAGATCCAGGACAAATTTTTTTATGAATATGATTTCCGTGTGAGTTTACTTTGAATCCCAAAGTTACATTCAATATTTTTCAAAGCACACTTGTCACTGACTACACTAGTCAAACAAGTAATTTCTGTTACAGTTACTCACCTTATGTTAAGCCTGATATGTAACGAAATTCGTATGCTACCCATTGAAACCTTGAAAAAGAAGCCCTTCGATACTTATTTACAAGTATTCGATTGTAATTCACGGGAAACTACACAAGCTGTTAAATATCTCTCTTGATAATTAACGAAGCAATCTTTGCCCGCGATTTCATTTGCCTTCGTGTCAAATTGTAGGTTTGACATCACTACATATCCGAAATTTTTGTTTTACTTTGCTTCTTATCTTTATTATGTTGACCCACTGCAGTCACGAAATCCTTGAGGTTCTGAGTAACACCAACTCAGGCTGATGATTTCAAATATCTGGCATATGACTTCGCTTTTCAACCCAAAACTGAAAGAGCCTAACTTCCATACGAAGGGGTTCTGACGTTTACAATTTCATTGGGTCAATAAATACAGGCTGTTTGAGGAGACATTTTATATTACTTCTGGTTTTCAAGGCGATGTGGCAATTACTTTTTGACGCATGGTTACTTTATCATCATCATGATGCGCTTTTATCGGTGACACGTCAGCAAGTATTTAATGCATATCCCGCTTTGATTTCAAATTAAAGAGTTACATATAAAAGGGGATTCAAGGGATCATTATCAGTTTACGCATTCATCTTACTAAAGTTTCTATGATAATCATCTGCTTTCAAACCCTAAAAATGGCGACTGCAAATCCTGATGCTACTCTTTCTCATACAACTGATGATGTTACTTCTCTACCAATGATGAAGATTCAGGGTACAAATTACCAGGTTGAATCAAATGTTTCTCTGTATCTTGAAGAATTGAAAATGCTAGTGGTTGCTCTACAAAAATCGCTATTATCAAAGGCCATGTTCAACTCATTCTATGTTCCTCTTTCTTGGTTATCTCAAGCCGGTTCAACTATAACGTATTCAAAAGCTTTGGAAGCTGTTACATTCAACCTCATCAATGATAAAAAGGTTAGGTTATCAAAGAAGGTTTTCTGCCAAATCCTTTCCATACCGAATTCACCACCATATGTTTCTTTTACATTTCCACAAATCGTACACATGTTCAATGAAATGGGTCATCAACCCCAATTGCCAAAGATAAGTGACTTCAAGAAGTCAGGGTTACCAAGTGTATGGAATTTTCTATTTGGGATATTTCTTCGATGTCTAACTAGCAGAACGGTTAGGCTCGATAAAGGAAGAATGGAGGTGTACGCCTTGGTTGTTGGGCTATACTATGATCTTCAGGTTGATTACTCAACACAACTGTTGAAGGAGTTTCAGAAGAGTATCAAAACATGAATGCTATTCATGGCATTTCGTGTGCTCGATATTGGAGTTTAATTTTGCAGCATTTCTTTGAAAAAGAAGGTATTTTAGTTCCAGCGGAAGAGGAGAACGCTGTGTTTCACACTTACAATTGTTCGAAGAATGCAACGGATGATTTAGATGTATTTCCATTTGCTGCTCGTATCCCTGATGCCATCTAAAAAAGGATTGATCCTTCAAACCCAGTCTTGGTTTCTTACTTAGAATCCATAGATACTTATGTGGAAATTGGGATTCTCTTACAACAGACAACTGAAAAGAAGTCAAAGAAGGCGAAGAAGACTGATGATGGGTCTTCGGGTATAAAGGTTACGACATCAAAGAGTATTAAGCAGGTTCCTGTGATCGAACCTGAGCCAATTCAGCTGGAGCCTATTATTCCTGATACGCAGGTAACTGAAAAAGAAGTTGTTCCTTCGAAGACTAGTGTATTGAGGTGAATCAAGATGAAATCAAAGCACAAGCGTCGATCATCTAGTACCAAAGATGTTCGTAAACCCCAAGTTTCTCGTCAAGGGGTGATTTTTAATGAGATACCTACCCCTGCTTCTCCTTCTTCGAAAAAGCGATTCGCTGCTGATATGGAAAAATACCTCTCCAAGAAGAAAAAGCGATTGGCTGCTGATATGGCAAAACAACTCTCCAAGAAGAAAAAGCGAAGGGTGATTCATACCTCAGAATCTCACGTGGATACATCTGTTATTACACCACCCATAACCTTTTACCATTCTTTTTCCTTCACAATCAACTGATCCACAAACCACTACTTCTCCAATAAAAGATTTAGTCATGGATACTGAAAATGAATCTGAAGGTTTTGGGGGAACTTTTGAAAATATGGAATTTGATGAGGAGGAAACTGACTTCCCGGATCATATGATCATGATGATGAAACAATTCAAGATCTTGAACACGAAGCTTAACTCTATTATTCAATTTCAAGCTGATCTTTAGGGAGGTCATTCTGTATCTAGTCTTGAAGTTGATGGCATGCTGACATTAGTTGAAGGGAGATTAACCACAAAAGTCTCTGGAATGCTGAAAGATCCAGAGTCTACGTTATTGGAGAAGATTGATCATTCTGATCAAAATAATGAATTAATAGTGAATTCTCAGAAGTATGGGTTTGCATCTGACTTGAAAGATTTGAAGGCAGTTGCAAAAGAAAGGCATGCAATTTTTGTCCAGGATGTAAAGAAGGTGAGAGAAGATGTCAATTTCAAAATTCAGGCGTTAAGAGAAGATATGGAGAAAGAAATTTCTGTTGTTCGAACGATGTTTGTTTCTATCAACAAGAAGGTGGACATTACTTGTGAGGCAGTAACAAAGTTTACAAAGTTGTATGAAAGTATGAACCCTCAGCTATCTCAGCTGTCAACCAATGACAATAAAAATTTCATGTAGGTGTTTGCACTTTTGAAACAGCTTAAACGTGTATCTTCCAAGTCTACTACGTCTGTGCCATCTTCAGAAGATCTGATCCAGAAATTTTCTAAGTTTGAAGAGTTACTTATCCAACACCTAGCTCCTCTATCATGCATCTAGAGTCTTCTTCCAACTACATATGCCCCACCTGCTAGCACAGGGATGCAAGGGTGAGAAAAAATATTTACAGGATCGAAGACTGAAGGAGGAGATTCGAAAGTGGTAGGGAAGGTGTTCTCTTTGAAAATACCAACAACAAAACCTTTAATGGCAACAGCTGGTCGAATCACCTCGACAGTTGTAACAACTGTACCAATTACTAAACCAAAAGAAATAGTGATTGGTAAATATGCTGACATTGGTGGAATTGCTTCAAAGCCAAAAGTTGATGATGGTGTGTCTGGCTCAAAATCAAAAGGAAAGGAAATTTTGATTGAAAAATCTAAGGAGGAAAAGAAAGCAGAGGTAGAGGTTGAGGTTGAAAATATGAGAATGATTCAGAGTATTATGACTCAAAGGGCCAGTGACCCTCCTGGCTTGAACAAAGGAGATCCTTCGAAGCATTACAATTATGAAACAATTGAAGCTAAAGTTGCATTCAATCACATGTACTCATTTGATAAAAATCCCAAGCAAAGCTATCTTGTCACAAATACAAATGCAGGCCAGCTGGATTTCCCTATAAACTAAATGATGTTTATCATGACACAATTCAAAGCTGAAAGTAAATTCAAAGAGAAGGAAGAAGGAACACACATGAAGATCAGATTTCATGCTGTTCTTGTGAAGCCTACTGAGGAGGTGTGGTCATTAACAAAGATCAAGAAAGTGATAAGTATAAAGAAGGATGTGGTCTTCAAAGACACAATCCAAAATTTGAAATATATACAGTGGTGAGGGCAAATGGAAGTATACATGAATTCACAATTGCTGACTTTCCATTGATGAGCTTGTATGATCTTATACAAGTTGCATTAATTCTGAAGGAAAGGTCATTTTCTTATTTGCAAAACACTGAGCGGGAAGAGTTTAAGTTGGGAGTTACTCACATCAAAATCTTCATAGAAAATTATTATGAATGTCTGGCAATGACAGATGTAGAGTTGGCTACAGCAAAGGGACTTGAAATTACTTCTCCTATGAATCCGTAGAAGACACAAGCAGAACTTAAAAGATATGCTGATGGAGAAATCTACTTGAAACCTTTTGGTTTAGTCTTTTCTCGGAAGGATAAGTCTGGAAGATCGAAGAAATTTTTGTTTCAAGCTGCTGAAGTAGAAATATATTCGACTTCACAATATACAAACTTAATTGTTCGTATGAATCATTGCAAGAAGAATACTGAGTGAGACAAGAAAGAGCTTAAGAAGATAATAAGCTGGTACACAGAATTACAAAGAGTTATGTTGTATTCAATCCAACTTCTTACAAATTGATGTCTTCAACTCTGATTATAAAGGGGGGAGATTATAAGGGTATTTTGGGATTGTAATGAGTCAAAGTCTTTTGTACTCTTCGTATGGATTATATTATATTTTACTAAGGCATTGTATTCGATGGTTAATGTTTAGTCCTTAGTATATTTTTTGTATGCTTTTCTCTCCTATAAATAGGAGTGTTTACTAGAGTTAGAAAGGCCTTTTGTCAGAATTATCTCTTGTACTCTGTAAAATCATAAGAGCGTAATAGAGCTGAACCAGAAATCATATTGACATCAGTGTTCAAATCTCACAATATGACTTTTGATCATTTGTTACTCTGATTCATTACATACTCGATTCCTTGTTTCATAAAGCATACCATAACCAGGATACCGATCTAACAGATCGTAATAGCATGACAACACCCTAACTACCAGGGTACCATTCTAGTAGAGCATAACAACATAACAACACTCTAATTACCAGGGTACCATTCTAGCAGATCATAACAGCATAAAAATACTCTAACTACCAGGTCATTAAATATGCACCATCCTAATTACCAGGATGGAAATCAATAAGCATATCATGCAATAAAGTCGAATACAAATCTGATAAGGGCCGACATTGGTGCCTTAGAACCTACTGATATAGTGAGGAGAACTCACCTGGCACTGCTGAAGTCCCGCAGGTAAAACTCTAGTTGCTGGTTGACAGCTTCCCGAACTATCAACATCAAATAATACCCAATTAACAATTAGTTCCAAGCCCAAAGTCTAACTCACACACCAAAGGCCCAAAAGTCAAGTAATTGGCCAAAGACCAACATATGGCCCAATCTTCCAAATTGGGCCCAAGCCTATACATGGTCTTATTTTGAGGCCCAACATTATGTAATCATTAAGGCCCAAAATATGGCCCATCTATGGCCTAATTTTCCAAACTGGGCCCAGCTCTCATATGGGCCTTACCATAAAGCCCAAAAGCATATTCTAATCCATATGATTATTTTTGGATGGCCCATTAGTAATCCCAGTACCAAGGCCCAATGGATAAAGCCCAACTTAAGGCCCAACATAAAATGACAATTAGTGTTAAGTGTTTCAACTTAACACGTTACAGACTTAATCCATTAAGTACATTATTGCCTTAAGTTAGTTTGCTAATGATTATTATTTAATAATTCAAGTTATTAAATAATCTCGTGTGTGCCCTGATTAATTCTCAAAATTAAGGTTTTAAGCCATTAGGATTTTCCAAACCCAAATTAGGGTTTCCTACGCAATACTAACCCATTAGTCAACCGGTTGGACTTTTAGGTCACTTTGGGCCTCATTGGGCCCATTAAGCTTTTATTAGGTCAATTAGGGCTTTATTGGGCCCCATTAAGCCCACTAGAGTTTCATTAGGCCCATTAGGGTTCCAATCATCCCAACGAATCGATACCACAATGCAAAGCACACCGCCACCAGACACGGTGGCCGGTGTCGGCAGCCATCACCTCACGGTGGTGGTTAGGGTTTTCTTTACTATTCCGATGGATTACACATTACAATGCCATATTCCAATACACAAACACAACACTAATAAACACACAAAACAACATACACACCCTCCATGGCGGTCTTGAGGCGGCAGCCACCATGGCCGGCGGCCATGGTGGTTCTTCTTTGATTTTTCTCCGATAGCAGCAACCCGAGACATCCGAGCTTGTATGACATGCTGAAGCTCACACACACACACACACCCATATTTCTTGGATACTAAACCTAACACCCACTAAGGTGGGTGACGAAGGCGGCAACACAAGAAAATGGTAACAGAAGCGGCCATTGGTAGCGGACGAGGCTGATGTTGAATCGCGATCACAGCAGCGGCTACTAGCGGTAGCAGCTTGACCCTCAACACCCCTGGCGTCCCATCATCGGTCCCCTTCAGCTAGAACAGAACAATGATGGCTGAGGCAGCAGACACAATCACGTCGTTGGCAGTGGGTGATTTCCAGGTTCACCAGTGGAGGGGTGGTGGTTTGGTGATGACATTACAGTATAAGAACGGAGGAGAAGGAGATTGGGACCCCAAACGGCGAACAACAAACCACAACATGCATCCTCTAACTAACTCCATCGTCGAAATGTTGGCTCATCTGATATTCACTCACGTCGGTAGCGATAGCGGTGGTATCGAACTCGACGGAGGATGTAATGGGGCTTGTATGTGATGAAGGCTGGATGAGAATGGAGAAAGAGGTATAAGGATGGCGGCTATAGTACGTTGATAGGTTTAGGGTTAGGGCACAAGGAGTGATGGGTTATAAATCTTGTACCCTCTCAAACATTGGCCCATACCATCACTTTTAGTCCCTCCTCCTTTGTTCCTTTCGATTTAAATCCCAACATTTACCATTTTCACCTGTGTTTAAAGAACCCTTCCCAGAATAAGTCTGATACTTGCTCTTTAATCCTCGAAAATCAAAGTATATCATTTGGAACCTCGAAGTCAACACCCCACTAATTATTATTTGATTTTGGACAATAATAATATAAGATTATAATAAGATTACTTCCCGGGATTCCTGATTTATTATTTACTTACTTCATTTTAACGGGATGTTACACAACCATTTAGCAAACTGTGGAACTTGATGCATATTCAAACGCTAATACGGAACACATTCGAAATCTTGAAGTTGCTCATGGGAGAGCTATGAGAGACAATGAAGCTATGCATCAAGAGATAGCTATAACTCGAGCTGAAGTCATAAAGCTTCGAGCACGCCTATCAGTGTATGAGAGACACCTACATGATGTGGAACGTCAACTGGCTAATTTAAGGTTTCGTCCGAGGGGTGACCTTCAGTAGTAGAAGATGCTCTACCTCCCTTTCTTTTGGTTTAAGGAATAGCC